TTCGCCTATTCAGCTATCGATAGGCTTTGCGAGTCGTAGGAGACATCTGCTTGTCCATATTGCTTTGCCTGCAGTTTCAGCTGGCTGCCTGAGCAAAGTTTATGGGCGTCGTCATTAGGATCCTTCCAGCTGATTCTGAGTATTGCCCAAGACGCGTCTTCGCGTTGTTTGCGTCAACAGCGCCGTACAACCGGACTCCCCTCCCTGGCTCGACTTTGTCCGATCGCACAGCTTGCTGCGATCGAGGGTTTTGCTCATGATGTTTGGTCTGCTCCTAGCCATCCGTCCATCCCCATGGCGTCGGGATCGAGAGTTTTGGTTACACATGACGTAGTCTTGTGATCTTCCCCCCAGCTTTCGATGTGAGAGCCATCCCGTGAACGCTGAGCGGATGAGCTATCGATATGATACGCGCTAAAACCTCGCAAGGGCTGTTGATAAGTGGTTTTAGGAGGCGGACCGTGTGCCGCTCGATAGTCTCTTCGAGAGAAGCGTGCTCACGAGGCCTCCTTCGAGGCCACGCTTCGTGATGGTTGCGACTACTTCACCACTAATCTCCGGGAAGGTGCGGTAACGGATCGTACCTACTTCATCGATCAGACGTAAAAGCACGTGGACATCGTCCGTCACGCGGCAAGATCATCGCGTCATGGTGAAAAACAACTTCCTAATACCGCGAATTCGCAAATCTGCATCATGTGGCCGCATCTGCGACCTCATTGTTATTCCACTACAAAGATCCCCGCTAGCCTACCGTTCAACATACAGTACTGCAGGAACGCGCTCTGGATGCCATGTTTTCCTGTTTCATCATCGCCGTACCTGCCTTAGCCTCTCGCACGCTTCCCCCTTCTACGTCCACATAGTCATCTATCATTACTACCTTCCGACATCGGGATCACCCCATGCCCTCAATCTAGTAGGAAGTTCACAGAGTGGTCTGTGGAATGAACCTGAACACGCCTGAACACAAGATGTGCTGCAGCCTGCATCTTGACCAGTTCCGCAAGACGCGACATTGCATCGACAGAGTTTGGCTCGGTATTCAAAGGAGAAACGCGCTATGGGCATACAGCGACATGTCTTGCAGCCAGCCTTAGCCGCACCTGCAGCGGGCATCAGCCTTATGATACCCCAAGTTTGATGTTTCAACGCGTGTTTCAGATTCGCTACTTCGTGGCTCTGATTATTGTTAAGGCCATGTGGCTTGTCGCCCTGTTCAGTCACTGTGGTAACATCTACTGGACTGTCGCCCTGTCTATGATTCCCATGGTAACTATTTCTAGTCGTCTCACTAGACTTGATGATATTGCGGGGAGATGAGTTGGCTTTTCAACAGGAGGTTCTCGGGGCCAGCATCACGACCGTGGATGGACGGCCACAAGGTAAGAATTTACGTCAAAAAACTTCAACAATCAAGGTTCCACCCAGGAGTTTGCCTAAGAAAACTCACATTGCTTGCGCGTCAGAAAGCGGAGAAGAGAGTATCGGTCGGACTTGGCCCGGATATTAGAAGCCCAACATCGACAGCTGTCAAGAGTGGCGAACACAGGGTCCTCCCGTGGCAGCATCTTGGGATTCACAGGGTCTCGAGATGATCTGTTCCCACTGTTCATCCCGTCGCTAAGGTGACGCAAGATGTGCTGCCGTAGATGCCCAATGCTGCGCGTCTTCTTCGTATTGCGCATATTGCGGCCACTAGATGATCCTTGGGGGCTATATTCGGGCATGGACCGTGTGGACTGTCCCCTTATCGTGGGCTCGTCGGGTAGAGTCAGGATGACGATGAAGTTCTGCTCGGACATCTTCGAGTAAGTCAGATAAGAAGTACTATGGTGTTGGTCAAGCCTGACACCGTGTGTTGTAATTTGTAACACAGTTTAACCGAAGGTTGCATTACAAATACTACCACGAACTTTGTTGAAAATCTGGAATAGTTGACAACTGCTATGGCTGTCTCGTGTTTCAGATCGAAATGACGAAAACCTGTCTAGCATTTGTCGCATGCGGGGTGAAAGGGTGAATTGATACACGTGCGATGCCTGCAACGCTGTAGGCACCATGTCTACAGTAGCATTCATGATCACAGAAGAGTGCAGCGGTGATGTGAGGTATGAGTCCCCATAGCCGGATGGAAAAACTTTGTTCCCGTGGGTTGCCAGTCAATGGCGGGGTGAGTCAAATCAAAAAGTTGGCGGGGCATATATCTCGTCGCGCAGCCCACACGAGCACCACCGAACATCGCAACAATGGCCGACGAACAAGCTGCACAACAGCCACCGGCTGCCGAGACCAAGGACTTGCACACCGACCCAGTCACCGGCGAGAAAATCTCCAAGAGTGAACTGAAGCGTCGCCAGAAGCAGCGCGAGAAGGACGAGAAGAAGAAGGAGAAGGAGGCGTCGCTACCTGCGCGGCCCAAGAAGGAGAAGAAGGACGATGTCGAGGAATTGAACCCAAACGTGCGCATCGAACTTGCCTCTTTCAACTGATCTGGTTACTCACCAACTGCAGCAATATTTCGAGATCCGGTCCAACAAGATCAACGCTCTCCGCGCCTCCAAGCAACCCAACCCGTACCCGCACAAGTTCCACACCAACTACAAGCTCGCCGACTATGTTCGCGACTACTCGCACCTCAAGAAGGGAGAGACTGAGCCCGACAAGGAGATTCGCATCGGTCTCCGCGTCATGACACAGCGCTCTGCCTCCAACGCGCTGCACTTCTACGTTTGTACGTATACTGGATACACCGATATTCATATAGCTGATAATGTCTAGGCAAGGCTGAGGGTGTCAACATCCAGGTCATGTGTCAATTGCAGGAAGCCAAGGCCGACGTACCCTTCGAGAAGCAGCATGAGAACATCCAGCGAGGAGACATCATCGGCGTCATCGGATACCCAGGTCGCACCAGCCCCAAGAAGGGTGGTGAGGGTGAGCTGAGCATCTTCGCGCGCGAGGTGATCCTTCTCACCCCCTGCTTGAGGATGTTGCCGACGGAGCACTTGTGAGTTCACCTCAGAACTTCAGCAATGGTGATACTAATACTACACAGTGGCTACAAGGACCAGGAGCAACGCCACCGCAACCGATTCCTCGATCTCATCATGAACGACTCAACACGCAACACCTTCATCACTCGGAGCAGGATTATCAAGGCTGTTCGCAAGTACCTCGACGAACGGGACTTTCTGGAAGTTCAGACGCCTATGATGAACAAGATTGCTGGTGGTGCGACTGCGCGACCATTCAAGACATACCACAACGAACTCGACATGGAGCTTTACATGCGTATCGCGCCCGAGCTATACCTCAAGGAGCTTGTAGTTGGAGGTCTGGAGAGGGTATACGAGATCGGCCGTCAATTCCGTAACGAGGGTATCGATCTTACCCACAACCCCGAGTTCACCACCTGCGAATTCTACATGGCATACGCCGACTACAACGACGTCCTGAACATGACCGAGGAGCTCGTCAGCGAGCTGGTCAAGGAGGTCACAGGCGGATACGAGACCGTCTACCACACTCAGAGCGGCGAGGTCTACAACGTCAACTGGGCAAGGCCATGGAGGCGAGTCGAGATGATCCCGGCATTGGAGGAGGCCACTGGCGAGAAGTTCCCACCAGCGGATCAACTACATACTGCCGAGACCAACGAGTTCCTCAAGAATGTACTCAAGAAGGTCAAGGTCGACTGCTCAGAACCTCGCACCAACTCGAGAATGATTGACAAGTTGGTTGGTGAGTTCATCGAGGAGACTGCTATCAACCCTACATTCATTATCGGTCACCCCGAGGTCATGTCGCCACTTGCTAAATACCACCGCGATATCCCTGGTCTCTGCGAACGTTTCGAGGCCTTTGTATGCAAGAAGGAGATCTGCAACGCTTATACTGAGCTTAACGACCCCTTCGATCAGCGTCTGCGATTCGTAAGTTCCAGATACTTGCATTGAGGAGACGCATATTGACATGTACATAGGAAGAGCAAGCGAACCAGAAGGCGGCTGGTGACGACGAAGCACAGCTCATCGACGAGACCTTCTGTCAGTCGCTCGAGTACGGTCTGCCACCCACCGGTGGTTGGGGTATGGGCATCGACCGTCTAGTCATGTTCTTGACCGACCACTACTCCATCAAGGAGGTGCTCACCTTCCCCTTCATGAAGGACATTATCGAGGTCAAGACGCCCGCAGCGGAGGTCGTCGATGTAACGCCCAAGCCCACTGAGGGCATTCGTAAGTCCATCTTAGTCTGATGTAATTGAAGTTTGCTAATGCAATTCAGCACACAAATAGTTTCAACGTAGCATTACTGGCGTATGGGGTGGTTTGGCAATCATAGGGATGGATACGGATCATGAGCCATGTTTCACGAATGTGTCAGATCTAGACAACTGAATATGAAAACATGAATGACTCTGGGACGGACGAAGAAACTCGAATTCCGAGTTGACAGTGTTCTCGCGATGCACCCCAGCGATATATACCAAGTCACTTTCTGCGAACGCTTTGCTCGGAATACAGAGAATACCTTTGGGTGATTTGCAACGTGAAGGACAACTCCAGGAGGAGAAAGAGCCTATTCGTATATAATAGGCACGCTCTTGGACGAGTGCAGGCATGGTCGCGTATTTTATTCGTGACGAGAGACCGGGGCCGATTTCTGAGTATAACAAGACAGTGTGATCGCGTGCTGTATGTGGACAATGGGTTTCAGTTTTCGGCTCCCCGCCCGCGGGCCCTGCCGCAACGTTTAATGCCCGAACCGTGAACCGCGACACCATTGCCACAACATTATCGGCGTACGTGAACTTGTGCCGAGCGGGAGGCCTATGAATAGATTGGCAGCTTATATATGATACTCGAATCGAATACTGATGCATCTTCATCTCAACCGTCCACCTTCCGTCAACGCGTTGCTACATCTCCGGATACAGGTTGCGTCGTACTAACAAGTTAAATATACACTACATCGAGAGGAAGACTGTGTCAAATATGGCGGCACCAGGGGGCAAGTTCTTCATCCAGGAGAAGCTGAAGACGCCGGCGAAGCACCATGAGTCTTATGAGCAGCTGTGGGAGACGAAGTGGAAGAAGCCTGTATGTTCATCACTAGTCACTCACTCGAACTACACATACAAAGACCGCAACTATATGATTTCAAACCCACTGATTCTTGATAGGCAGAAATGGGCGTCTACCCCTTCATGTTCGGCACCGCCTCCGACTTCGAGCCGATAGTAAAAGAGATGGTATCCAAAGACATGAAAGAGCCCTACAACTGGGACGAATACGCCAAGATTTACTTTCCACAGGCCGAAAAGCTCAAGTCCATAGCCGAAGAAGCCGAGAAGAATGGCGAAAAAGAGAAAGCATCAGAGTACTACCTACGCTCCAGCGCCGTATACCGTATCAGCCGCTTCCCAGCGCCACGCAGCGAAGTCCAGCGCGAAGCCTGGAAACTAGGCAAAGAGGTATGCATCAAAGGCCTAGGAATGCGGGAACACCCCGTCCACGAAGTCATGATCTCACACAAACACCGCAACCAAGACGAAGGCGAACACATACCCGTGTACCACCTCGTCCCGGACAGCGCCTCGAAAGAGAATCCCGTACCCACCCTCATCATCTTCACCGGACTAGACGGATACCGCACCGAACTAGCCGTATGGATGGAAGGCTGGCGGCGTGTCGGCGTCGCAACCATCGTCCTCGAGATACCCGGCACAGGCGACTGTCCAGCCACGGCGTCCGACTCAACGTCTCCAGACCGTCTGTACAGCTCGCTCTTCGACTGGGTAGCCACGCAACCGCGTCTCGATGCAAAGAAAATCGCTATCTGGGCCTTCAGCACAGGCGGCTACTACGCCATGCGCGTGGCGCACACGCACGCTTCTAAACTCGCGGGCGTTGTCGCCCTCGGCGGCGGCTGCCACCACATGTTTTCCCCCGAATGGCTGGACAATGTAAATCACCTCGAGTACCCCTTCGATCTTGCCAATACGCTAGCCTACAAATGGGGCTATGGCAACGACGTCGAGGCTTTCAAGAAGGAGGCCATGAGCAAGTTCTCGTTGCTGAACGATGGCACGCTGGATAAGCAGGAGTGTGCAAGGTTGCTCCTGGTGAATGGAACTGACGATGAGATTTTCCCGATCGATGACTATTATCTTGCGTTGATGCATGGGGCGCCGAAGGAAGCGCGGTTTGTGGAGGGGTTCAAGCACATGGGCGAGCCGGAGAGCTTTTTTGTTATCATCAAGTGGCTGTATAAGTTGTTTGAATTGCAGGCGGAGGTGGGGACGATTATGGCTACGTTGCCTTTCAAGCCGAAGTACTGAGTGGAGGGGTGGATAGCGGAAGATGTTTGACAAGGGATACGAAAACTAGAGAATGCAGATGATGTCTTCTTTTCATTCCATGAACATCCTGTCACACTCTTTTGGTAGACAAGCGCTCCAAGTTCTCAGTGATCCCTTATTCCTCATCTTTCCCAAAGAGATCACTCAAGAGACACAAAATTTGAATCCAAATGCGACCAAACATGTGTCCAAGATACGGCTAGTCCGCAAAGCCATATTTTAGTCGTCGTCGTTTCAGGCAAAGACACACATTTATGACCCCGTAGAAACTTTTGGCAGTGTCGCGCTTTCTCAGGACGGGAAACAACGTGTACTTTGTGCGCTCTTGTTTTAGTCTAGGCCAGGCCAACGAAGTTGTCAAAGGCAGACATGGTTCTTCTCTCTTGTCGTTTTGTTGCAACTGAAGCAGGCAAGACCGGCCATGGCCATCCGAAGGCTTTTACCAGTGACACCGCAAGACGGGATGGTGTGTCCGTGCTATCTCGCAGAGGGCCGAAGCGTATAAATTGCTCTCGCTCGAGGCCCTGTGTCTCTCTCCCACACTCTGATCACCAGTTCGCTTCCAAAAAAAAAAAAAAAAAATACCAGCGATGTCGATACATGTTTTCCCCGCTGTTTCCAGAAGACTCAGGAAAACAGGCCATGTTTAATCCTTGCAATGATTTTCAGAAGAGGTCAATAGTACAACAATACCTATTATTATGTACGCTTTTATGTACACGTAACGCCTATAATGCATCACTCTGATCTTTCTCATCACCTTCGACCCGTCCATCCGTCAGTCATGACAACTTCAAAACGTCGAACCCCATGAGCTATGTATTCATTCCGATATCCCAACACTCTCACCCCTTGATATCACCCTTCAACCCACCATCAACACCACCCTTTCCGAACCTGTATCCGAAACTGACGGCTACAGCGCAGAACAATCCGAAGCAGAGCAGCGTAGGTCCCCAGCGATCGTGGTACGTAACCGCTCTCCTTTCCTTGATCTTGTTCACTCTCCACAGGTACAAGCCTGCACTGTAGCACAGCGCAATGCAAGCAATGATGGTAAACGCCCAGGCAGCCGCAAAGGCAAGGGGGTCACCGAAGTTGAGCAATGTAGCGGCAATGGAGCCAATGAGGATCGAGAATTCGAGCCAGGAGAGGAAAGTGCGCTCGGTAGCTAGTTGGACTTTGGGTTCGACGCGGACGGGGACGTGGATGCCTGATATTATGTTAGTACGTTTTGGTAGTGTGAGATGATTGGAGTAACATACGCTTGCCCTTTGGTGCCTTGAACCTCTTCACTTCACCCTTTTGCTTCCATGAGGGTACACCCAACGAGAAGCCTCCCTCACCTACATCAGTAGGCGTTGGCTTGGGGATAACCGTGGCGACTGTTGACAGTATTGTGGATCCCACGTTGGTTGCAGTGCGCTCTACCCATTTGCGCGCATAGCGGAGGCCTCCTTGTTTCTTGGCTGCTTCGTACTCCTCGTCTTCGTCGTCGCTGTCAGAATCGTAGATGGGGTAATCCTCGTCGCGAGTGCGTCCTGCGGCGACACGCTCTTCAATGTCCAGCGCATTGGGATCGTTGCCATTCGTAAGAGTGCCGTAGTCGCGGGTTCTTTCCATCTCGTTCTGCTCCATGACATCCCTCGCCTCGCGCAGCCGCCTCAGTCGGTCATCGTCCTCGTTGCCGTTCGCAGCAGGAAGGCCCATGACGGCATCCTCGTCTTCGCTCTCATCGTCATCGAGGTTACCGCTGGTGCTGATGTCGTTGCTCGCTCCGGGGCGCTCAATACCAAACTTGTGACTAACGGGCTTGCGAATGTCGACATCCATCTGCGGGTACCAGTATGGGATCAAGTTGATGCGCTTGGGGTTCAGCGTAGCTGTGCCGTGAATGTACTTGGAGAACTTGGGCACAGCTTCGACAAGATGGGAAGACGTGAGGTCGCGAATCCACTGCGGTGGCTCTCCTCCAGCTTGTGTCTGGAGCTTGACCTCGAGGACAGCATAAGGGAAGAGCTCCTTGTCCTCCTTTGGCAACTGCTTGAACGGCCAGTCTACGCCAATGTCCATGCGACGCCAGTTGTCGCCCGCACGTCTCTTGCCGTCCAGGTTGTCTTCGCGGGTCATGGTAAGCTCCGTGTCGAGGGAGATACGAACGCGAGCATCGCCGGGAAGTTGGAAAGCGGTGCGGTGGTAGAAGGAGCGTGTAACGGGTTCGAGCTTGCGGGTTAGCACGCGGTACTGGATCTCTCGGGCCAGCTGCTCGTCAGAAGCGATGTCCTTCTCAGGCCTCTTCTGCTCCCTGCGCTCCTTCTCGAAGATCTGCTCGGGCCTGAGCTCACCGCGGAGGTATGCGTTGACGTTCTTCTCCTTAAGCTTGAAACGCGCCTTGACAGACTCCTCGCCAGTCCAGTCCTCGCGATGCGTCTTACGCTCAATGAAGATAGTGTCGCTAGACATGCCTCCATACCAACGCAGACGTATAGCCTCAGCACCCTCGGTCTTCTTCAGACGGCCCTGGTATAGCTCCCATGTCTCGGTGTTGTCGAAGTAGATGGATGTGATGGCCGAGTCTTCCTCGTTGAACTCTTTGTTGGGGTTGAAAACGAGCACAGGCAAGTGCTTGAGGACGATGAGCTTCAGCTCTAGGATGTTATCCGGATGCACCCAGTACTTGGTCGTCTGGCGCACAAAGTTCTGTTGCTTTCCTCCGGCGGATGCATCGCCCTTGACCGGGTTTCCTCGCGTGCGGACGATGTCATAGAGCCTCGAGAGCTTGACTACGTAGGAGTCGTAGTTGTCCTGGAAGAAGGGCTTGCGCTTCAGACGGGCGGCGAAGACGGGCTTGAGGAACCAGCTGGTGTTTTTCTACACTCAATTAGCTCTGGTTCGATGGCAGCTATGCAATACGTACGTCGTGCTTCTTGATAATCTTCTGGAAGCCCGTGTAGTTGAGCTGCGTGAACTTGGCGAGGTCGTGGACGTCGGCGATAATGTCGCTCAGGTCCTCCTCGAGCAGATCGAAGTCTTCCTCGTAGCTGGCAGCGTTCTCGGGGTCCTGCTGGGCGCGCGCGACGGCATCGTTGACTTCCTTCTCGGACGCTGCTATGCGACGGATAATCTCCTCGGCCTTGACGCGCTGGAACGTGTAGACCTTGTCGAGCTCCTTCTCGAGCTGCTCGACGAAGCTCTGCTCCGACTTCTCATCCCAGATGTGGTGGACGCGCAGAGAATTCTTAAGGCCCTCGTAGTCGATGTAGTAGAAGATCCACTCCTTGTTGAGCGACTGCTTGAGTTGCTGACCGAACCTGGATACGCGCATTAGTTTCCGTTGACATCACCCGCCGTGCGACGATTGGAGGGCGCATGCGCGGGTGCATTGCTGGGATTACGAACCTCATGCTGGGCGAGACGCGGGCAATTGCAGACCTCGAAGGCGTTCAACTGCGCGATTGAATGGGAGTGTTAGCAATATGGGCTCGCGGCGGAAGCTTCAGAAGTCGACGCAGGGCCCCAGCGCGCTGAGACCGGGCCCAAGAGTGAAGCTCCCCGCTTGCATGTGCAGGCCTGGTGGGCCTTCGTGTCCTAGTGCCGTCTGGTCGAGCCGTAGATGGGTCTGCCGTTGCGCCCAGCCATTTAGAAGGTCCGATGCCACCCACGTGTATACAAACAATGCAGCCAGTGTGTTCCTTCGCTGCAACACGGAGAGAAAAGCTTTACGTCGCTTCCCTGTTGGGTCAGGTCGCTCCTGCGAACTTTGACAGGCATATACGCCAGAAGCGAATCAAACGTGTGATGACGTTGGTTTCTCGACAACCTACCCTTGCAGCGGTTCATTCCTCGGCGGAGAAAAGCACTCATTACATAGGGGTGGCTTGAATCTTCACTGTTCAGTCCCATGTATATTAAGATAGCAGCTAAGGGTAACGGTTGTCTTATTAAGAGCTACACACTACCAACTCGGAGATGTCCAACACACTCGTTGCTATTCTACAGCGACAGACAACATGAGGACAAAGGAAACCAAAACAATGTAAACTCCATCCAGCGCCGAGCTCGTTGGGTATCGCGTAATGATAGGTAGGAAACGTATAGTCGTGTAACGAGCGTGCAGTCATGTGAAGGCTGAGCGTTACTGTCAACGCAAGAGATGCCAGATATCCATCGCCCAGCCGCCTGTTCCAACGGCATCCAGCTCAGTCCTGCGGCGCACCTAGGCCTCGTCACTGTGCACCGCTTCTCTAGGGAACGAGTTGACGTGCTGGCTGGACTCAGGACTGTTGTTCTTGCTCGCCTCAGGCGACAAGGTATGCGAGCGCGAGACGATGTAGAGGTCGTCGTAGCTGCCCAATATCATGTGTTTCCACTTGGCGAGCGTGGGCAGTCCCACATTTGCGACGGAAGCCTTAAGCGTAGGCTTCTCTGCGTACTTTTCGCGTTCCGAGGGGGCGAGCAGGTCTTCGTTGAGGATGTCAAGCCGACTGTTGCCGCGCGGTATAGGCTTCTTTGTGACGCGTATGAAGGGTAATGACGGATCTGGACGCTGCCTTTAGTTGAAGTCACACCAACAGACTACAGAGAACGTACCTTGGTCGAGTTCCGTGCAGAGATCACGCTCAGTCTTGACCTCTAGGCCCTTTGCGCCTGAGCGATATTTGTACACGAGGATAGACTTGACGCAGTTCTGGTCCAGGTCGAACAGGCTACTCGCCTTACTGGACGTGGTGCCAGACGTCGACTCCGACTTGAACGTCATGCTTTCCTGTAACATTCCTTCGGTTCGGTTCCGGATAGGGTGAGGCTGAGACGTCTCTATAGGCGAGGATAGGGCTGCCGTGGGCGGTGTTGGTGGTGGACGGTGAAGGTTGGGTGTCGAGCGTGGGTGCTTGTCTCGCTTGAGAAATGTTTGCAGTCCTACAAACTGGTGGAAGGTGCTTGTAGAGGCGAAGGCAGTGGTCAGTCGTGTGAGTGGAAAT